AACAGAAATTTAAAAATACTTTTGTACCCCTAATGGCTGCATTTTATTCTTCTATGTTCTCAAACACTTTTTTACAATAAAAACGAAAACCCTAATTTAACATAAAATGTTCAATGATTTTTAACGTTATCTGTTTATTTTACAGCTATTGCTAAATTTTAAAATAAAAAAACAAACAAACAAAATAAAACCCAGCGAGAATCGATTATCTTTAGGTATGTATTTAAATGAGACTCATTGAAGACAAAGGAAAGAAGCAAAAAAATAGTCTTTAAATAAGCTACCAATCTAGACTCACTGAATCCAAACACCTGACGACGTTCTGTTACAAAGAATTGGGAAAAAAAGCTTGCTTTACTAAATATCACTTTGTGGTGTTGTTGTTGTTAAGTGGCATTGAGTCAGTTTGGATTCATAGCAACCTGGCATAGGGTTTACGAGGAACAGTTGATGGGTTTGAATCGCTAACCTTGTAGTTAGCAGTCCAGTGCTTATCATGCAGTGCCACACCAGGACTCTAAACATCACTTTAAAACTGGTAAAAATAAATAATGACCTTTTAAAAAACTTCCTTTCCCCTCTTCCTCTACCTTACCTGGCTCATATGCCTTATTAACCTCTATATTAATTACAGTTTATTTGATTAAGGAAGCATTGATGAAAAGAAGATGAGCTTTGTCTTGACTGCCTGTCCATTTTGGTGAACAATTTCTCTTGTTTTCATGAAGATCACATGATTTCCATTGAACCCTTGGGGAGAACCACATTTTCTACCTGTGAAAATCAGTGAATAGAGTTAAGCATCCATAAAGGTACATTTGGAGTCCTGGTGTGGCACCTTAGGATAAGTATTTGACTGCGAATCACAAGGTCAGCAGCTCAAATCCACCAGCATCTCCTTGGAAACCCTATACAGAGTCACTATAAATCAGAACTGACTTCTAGGGCACTTAACAAGGGCATATTTGCTTATCGTCAATCTTCAATGATTTCCCCCCCTATGGCTCTGGTAGCATAGTGGTTACGAACCGGGCTGCGAACCTTGGGGTCAGCAATTCAAAACTACCAGTTGTTCCATGGGAGAAAGATGAGACTTTCTGAGACTTTCTGCTCCCATAAAGATTGACAGCCTCGGGAACTCTGTACAGGGTCGCTATGAGTCGGAACCAACTCCATGGCACATAACAACAACAACATGGCTTATTAAGCAGAGTATTCTCATATCATATTGATTTTATTCTATACGGTAAAGATAATTTGTGAACAGACAGGGGAGAACGGAAGAGTGTATTAAAACATATTTATATTCTCAAAGGAAACAGCCTATATAAGTTCTATGTATTAAGCTCTATGCGTCATACAAGTGCAAGCACTATTCACAGACTGTTTAGGAAATACCAAGGTGAGATATCAGAATGATCTTTTTCAAAATCATAAAATGGCACCAAGTACACAAAGCTAATGACTTACAAAGTTGTTTCTCCTTAACAAATCATTCCTGGACTGGGTAAACAAATATTTTAAGGATGCTATTGCCTGCCATAAGAAAGTAATGCTACTTTATTCAACAAAGACATTTCCTTAGTTTGCTAGGCAGTTAGCCACTCAGAAAGAAATCAAGTCACATTTTGGTAATTAGCAGCAAATGTACAATCAAAGTATCTACCAGAACTGAAGATCATTAATTGAGCAATTTCCTATACCTTGATCATTTATACAGCTCTTATTTAAAACAAAACAAAACAAAACAAAAAAACCCATAAAAGAACAACAAAGAACTCATGAGTGAAATTGAACTTTAGAACTCACAAATACAATCTTTGGTTCATCCAATAATCTATATTTGTGTATGGCTTTATCTTCTTAACTAAGCTCTACTTCCTTTGCTGATAATATCGGATGGAGCAAAGCCAGGATGCAGTTGCTTAGTTTAAATCTTAGCAATACTCTATTAATCACTTCTCTCTATTTGAGACAGCAACTCTTTTATAAATGTAGTCATGAGCAAGCTTGTCAACACTCGTCAGAAACTGAAATGTAAGAAATAGTGGAGTATCTCACCCTTTTGCTCAGGTTTAGAATAGACCACATCTGCCTTCACTAGTGATTATCACAAAAGACTGGAAGGTATAAACACAATGCTTTGACCAAGACGTGAATTCTCTGTATGCATTATCTTTAAAAAACAATAACATATACCCACAGTAGGAAAACCAAGCAAGGGAAATTTACCTTTATAAATAACAAATAGGAAACAGCCCAAAGATCACATGCACAGGTGCATCCTCAAAAGAAAACTATAGCCAAGGATATCAGAGAGGCTTTATTTACCAGAATTTACAGCCAGTTGCCAAATCTTGCCAAAGCTCTGAAATTCAAAAAAGATCTGGCAACAGCTGGTTGTCTCTTTAAGCCTTTCTAATTGAAATGTGACTGCCACTTCATTAGTATCAAGACAGAGGTTAAAAAAAGAAGAAGAAAAGCAAAAAATAGAAAAGACAAAATACTGCTAAAGATGAGGAAAGCAGAGCAGATTCATATAAGGTGAAAGCAGAATGCCTAGACAGACGTACCTGCTTTCCCTGTATGACTGTGGAAATGGAATTTGAATTATGATCAGTTCTCCCCTCCCACGCAGTTTCTTCCGTATTTGTATTAACAGAAGTGACTCCTCTCAGCTTCTTAAGCCTGAGACCTTGGAATGTATCCACCTTGCTCACATACTGACTGAGGAGTTAACACCCTCACTGACTCTTCTCTTGTTAACACACCTTTTCTCCTTTCCAAGAGCCCGCCCTCACGGTCTAGAGTCCTCTAAAGAAAACTATTTTGTCCACTTCCAGGATCTCAGGACCCCCAGACAGGACTTGGTTGGCTAGTCTGTCACAGAAAAGAGTTCCCAGACAGAGTTTGTCCACCCTCTGTGCCCATCAAAAAGTTAAAGAGAGGACAGCGAGAGATGGAGAAATGAAATGCTTTTGTGAACTAAAGGACTTCCATTGAAATCAGACCACTCTTCAGGGGCTGATCTGGTGTGAATGTGTTTGTTTGCACACCTGCTCTTTTTCTCCCCTGAGGAAAGGATCCTTTCCCCATTCCCAGATCAGCACTGTTCTTTTGACGTTTGGATATTCTTGATTTAAAAGAGCTACTCTGATGCACCGCCATGCATGAAATGGATGAGTTGCAATCTCCTCCTCTGTTCCCATATAATTCAGTGACTAACCAGATTCATTAAGGGCAAGGTAGTCGATTCTTTGTATAAATTAATAAACCTCCTGTTTAAAAGGGGTTGGGGAGGGCAGTGGCTCCATACAATAAGCACTGGACTACGAATGAACCAAAAAGTCCACGGTTCGAGCCCGCCAGCCGCTTCCCGGGAGAAAAATGAGTCTTTTTGCTCCCGCGAAGTTTGAAAGCCTCGGAAACCCTATATGGCACTTAGCAACAACAACAACTAAAGGGGCTAATACTGATTGCTGCTCCCTGAGACTGCAGACTCAGTAGGCGACAACCCGCGGGGCCAGGGCTCTAGCCTTGGTGCTGAACCAGGAACCTAATCCGCGAAAGCCATCTCAGCGGTCTTGGACAACTTTCTGGAGGTTTGAAGGGCCGGTTAGCTTTAGGAGCCCCCTCGCGGGACACCGACAGATACTTGGGAATACCCAATGCCTTGGAACTCTCCATGGGGCACGTGGTTAGTTTATTTCGTTGCCTGGAGGTGGAAAAGTTTTGTCCAACGTTGATTCTGTAATTGGAGCTGTCTTTCCCCCCTCCCACCTGGGTCGCCATGGAGACTCCAGCTCTTTCTCTGGGTAAAATGGGCGAAGCTTACTTAGCTCAGCCCTGACTATAGCAAGCCCCTATTTCTTGCTAAGCATTTCCTGGGCTTGCCACTGAGCGCCTTCCCGCCCCCCCCTCGTTCTTCAATTCTTCAGCAGAAAAAAACACAGGCAGGGAACCTTAATAACAGGCATTGCATCCTGTACAATGGGGCTTCAGACTTTGGACAAATACTGAATATCAAACTCCTAAACAAAGGAGGGTTCCCTTCCTATTTTGGGGGTTGGAGGTGGGATTCTTTGGAAACATCTAATTTGTTTTTCACTAACCTCACCCCGTTTCTGTTTCTGTTAAAATATGACCCTTTCTTCAGAGTCTTTCCATATTGAGCAGGGTAAAACAATATATATACCTGTGGATTGATATACAATTTTATTGGGTTGGGGGAACACTAATGTTATTTCTGTGGAAAACTAATCCAAGGTTAATATCTTGATGAAAATGAAAATACACCCAGGAGGAAGACAAATCAGCGGATTCAGATTCACCCATCCCCCTAAATGCTATAAACATCTAATTTTATCTGAGGGTTTTCTTTTCCAATTACAAAATAATTCCATTTACTTCTAGGAGCTCTTCCATTCACTGGTTTTAGTCATCACATCACACCTCTGGTTTTATTGATAGATAACAGTTAGGAGTTATTCTCTGTTTTCTATTCTCTGCCTGTTTCTCCCCACCTCACTTTTCCTCCTCATGTATTTATTTGCCCTCTCCCTTTCTCCTTTCTATGCAAAGCAGAACAAGAATATAGCTTTCCATAAAGACAATGGGCTTTTCCCAACTGTAAACGACTACACCACAAGTCGCCCCTGCCAGTCAATCATGCATTCCATCTTTGCCAAGGGATGTCAAAATGATGTCTGCAATAACTGACTGGGTTTCTCCGCGCCCAGGGCATGCAGACCCCTCCTCTCCCCGCCCAACTGAGTTTTCAGTTGCTAATGAAAACCGTATGAAACAGATTTCCCTTCTGTTATGTAACCGGCGTCTCCCTCGCCTTTTGGTGGACTTAGGCATCACGCTTCTCTTCGGAGTGGAGATGCATGCAGCCACAGCGGAGACTGGGAAGGGGGCGGTGGGGACTCCAGGGCACTGAATGTCTGCCCAGATGTATGCAAGCTTCTCGCCTTGGAGCAACTCAGCGCACTGCTTACCTTGTTGTGGGCAGGGTGGTTTCACTCAATCATGATCTCCTCGCTTGGAACGGAGCAAGATTTAATAATTTTTCACTACACTGTAGATGGCGAGTGGAGGAAATTAAAAAAAAAAAAAAGAAGAAGAAGAAGAAAAGAAAAGAAAAACTAGAAACAGATGGTAAAATTTCACATCAGCCCCAGGAAGCTGTCAGGAGACTCCAGTATCTGCGCGGTTCATCCAGCTCTGGCTCCAGTTTCCCGGTCCCAGCTGATCCCACCCCTCCGCCCGCCCAGCCTCTCCGGCCAGGTGCGGCCGTCTGCAAACGGGCTCCCTCTCTCAGAGAGCGGAGCGGAGGGCTGGGCTCCTGGCCGAAGGAAGGGCGGAGGGGTGTGCGTTTGTGCAGGGACTCGGGAGGGGGACGGGTGGAAGGAAGGGGGAAAGGCAAGAGTGAAGGGGGAAAAAAATCCTCGGCAAAAAGCAAAGTGATGGACCACGCCGGGAGACGTCATGAAATCCGCAGATTCAATGAATGCTACTCAATTCCAGCCGACTGGCTGCGCCCCGCTGTCAGCTTACGAAAAGACGCGGCTGGGAGATAAAAGTGAGCACAGCGCCGCGTGCTGGAAAAAAGAGACCACACAGCTAGTTCTGGAGAGGAAGTGGGCGGGGCGGTGAGTGAGAGGCCGGAGGACGCCCACTACCAACGTTCTCAAGATCATTTCAGTTCAGGATGGCGGGAAGGAGCCCTCCACCACCATCTCTCCAAACCAGAACCCATGCAGAAATCAGCAAGCCAAATCCCAGTACTGGAAACAGGGGACGTTCCATGCGGCAGAAACCTCTAGGGTTTAACCCAAACACAGGGTTCTCCCAAGTCACTATGTAACTCTTTAAAGAGAAAGGCCTGAAAAGCAGGAAAGAGCCTGGTGTGGGGGCTCAGTCTTAATCTTATCACTGGACTCATCTAGACTGCAACTGGGAGCTGTCCATAGAGCTGGAGCCCTCGTGGACCAAGTGGCCAGCAGAGGACAGAAGAGCAGCTATATTTCAGGAAAGGACTTTGACTCAGAACTTTGTTTACAACCTGCGGTGACCCAGCTCCCTGGTCCTTTCAGCTTGTCTTGTTTATGGAAGCTGGACATGACTATATTTAGATGCACAAGAGGCAAGGAAGGGGTTCTGCTTTTTTTTTTTTTCCACGTACAAAACGATTTTCCTTCAAAGGGGACTTTGTTAGGACAAGCCCTTTGGGACTACTCCCTCCTTTAAATTTTAACTTGCTTTGTGTTCTTATTCCAGGGATCCCCTCAAAATGTTCTCCCTCATCCTTTTTTTCTATTATGGTCATGGCACACACTCATTCTATCTTTTGAAGACTTTTTCTTTGCCCTAGACTAAAAAATGTACTGGGTGGCAATACGGTTTAGCTGGCAATTGAAAGGTTGACATTTGACCTACTTGGTCGTAGCACCAAAGAAAAGTCCTAGAAATTTGTTTCCATAAGATTGCTGCTATTCTTAGGTGCTATGGAGTCTATTCCAACTCATTGCCACCCCTAGTGTGCGGAGTAGAACTGTTTCATAGGGTTTTCAAAACAGTGGCCTTTCAGAAGTAGAAGACCAGACCTGTCTTCAGGTATTTCTCCAGGTAGGTTCAAACCACCAACTTTTTGATTAGTAGTCCAGCACTCAACTGTTTCTACCATCTAGGGACTCCCCTGTAAGAATAGTTGTTGTTTTTCAATGTCATCGAGTCAGTTCCAACTCATAGCGACCCTGTGCAGGGATTCTGAGGTGCGTCTGGTGGGCTTGAACCACTGACCTTGCAATTAACAATTGAGTGCTTATTCTACAGTGCTACACCAGGACTCCCTGTAGAAATTGCTGTTGTTAAGTACTGTAGAGTTGGTTCCAACTCATAGTGACCCTAGGCTATAAATCCGAGGCTATAAATCTTTATGGGAGCAGAACTCCTTGTCTTACTCCCATGGAACCACTGGTAGTTTCAAACTGCTGACCTTGATGTTGGTAGCCCGACTTGTAACCACTATGCTATCAGAACCCCATAGAAATTACAAACAACTAAATCCTATGGAAGGAGCTCTAGTAGCGTAGTGGTTATGAATTGGGTTGCAAACCTCAAGATCAGCAGTTCTAAACTACCAGCTGTTCCGTGGGAGAAAGATGAGGCTTTCTGCTCCTGTAAAGATTTTCAGCCTCAGAAACCCTGTCCAGGGTCACTATGAGTCAGAACCAACTCCACGGTACTTTAACAACAACAACAACAAACCCTATGAAGTCCTGGTGTGGCACTGTGGGATAAAGAACTAGACTGCAAGGTCCATTTGGACCACAAGTTGGCATTTCAAACTTGCCAAAAGTTCCTTGAAAACCCCATGTTATTGTTAAGTGCTATATTGTTAAGAAACCTGTATAGGGTTTCCAGGGAGCAATTGGTGAGCTTGAACCTCCGACCTTGTGGTTCAAACCAACTTTGTAGTACAGTGCATTAACCCACACTCTCCAGTACTTAACAGCAACAACAAATCCTATAGAGCACAGTTCTAATCTGCAACACATGGCATTTGAACTAACTCCCAGACAATTGGTTAGGTTTGGTTTTTCTCTTTGTCTCTATCAGTCCTGCAGGTAGAATATCATCTTTTTTTTTTTTTTACTAGAAATAAATGGATTGACAAACAAACTGTAAGAGCAAATTAGTCCCACAATTTAGTACTTTTACAATGGTGGTGATGTGCCGTGGAGTCGGTTCCGACTCATAACGACCCTGTACAGGGTTTCCGAGCCCTTTCCATTATTGGCTTTCCTTCAACACAACTCAGAATCTCCACCTCTGAGATAGTTATCTTGTTCCAGAGAATGGACTAACTTCTCTTTTTCCAATATAATTTTATTCTACATTCATGCATTCTACCTACATAACTGTTCAGGTCCTCAAAAGTGCTATCTGCTCACTAAAGACGACTGTGGTATGGAGAAGTCTTTTCAACACTTTGCATCATTGTTATTGTTAGGTGCTGCTGAGTTGGTTCCAACTCATAGCTACCCTGTATAGGGTTTCCAAGGAGCGGCTGGTGAGTTTGAGCCGTTGACCTTGTGGTTCAAACCAACCTTTCAGTCCAGGGCATTAACCCACAGCACCACACTAGGACTTTGCATCATTGTTGTTAAGTGCCATTGACTTGGTTCCAACCCATAGCAATCCTGTATAGGGTTTCCAAGGAATGACTGGTGAGCTTAAACCACCTACCTTGTGGTTCAAACAACTTTTCAGTCCAGTGTATTAACCCACAGCTCCACACCAGGACTCACTAGCTGTATACAAATTAACCAGGGACAAAGCCTGTAAACTCTATTTGCTGCTGATTTTTGCTGAAATGTTATGATTTCACTTGCTCTGACTTCTGAGTCAAATAGTCTATATATGATACTGTGGTGTTGTTAGTGACTGTTGAGTTGGCTTAGACTCATGGCAACCCTATGCACAATGGAATGAAATGCTGCTTGATCTTGTGCCATCCCCATGATCAACTGTCGATAGAACCATTGTGTTCCATAGGGTTTTCATTGGCTGATTTTTAGAAGTAGATCACCAAGCCTTTCTTCCTAGTTCATTTTAGTCTGGAAGCTTTGCTAAAACCTGTTAATCATATCAACAGGCAAGCTTCCTGCAAAGTGGTAGATGGTACTTGCTTGGAAGGTGAGAATTCTACCACTGAACAACCACTACTTTCCCTTTGTAGTATGTTCCATGGTATTTCCAGTCCTGGTGTGGCCTGTAGGAAAAGCACAAAGTCAGTGAGAAAGCTCACATATAAAAGGTCACTATGAGTCAGAACAAATTTGACGGTACTTAACAGCAGCAACAACCATGGTACTTACTGGACTGAGCAATTGTTTTAGAAATAAACACATAGAAAGAACTGTTGGACCAAAAATATGGGAGGATCCCAAAGAAAAAATGTGGGATAAAAGCTTTTGTTGGAAGCAGCCTTAGATAGAACATGTAAAGAGCAAGCCACAGAAAGGACGGTGATTGTCTTAAGAACATTCTATTGAATCTGAAGTTGCTAAAGATATGCATACTCATTTG